GCCCGCCGCCCACGGCGCTCCAGTCTAGCCTCCTCCCGCCTCACCTCCGTCTTGCTGCCACCGCCCGCCGCTTCCCGCACCGCACCGCACAGCTCAGCCACCCCGCCCCCGGCCGCGCCGCTGCCATTGGCCGCCCGCCGCCCGCCCTCCAAGAACCATTGGCCTTGCTGTCCGTCCGTCAGGGAGCCCCACCCCCACGCTTTCCCACACAGCGCCGCGCTTACTGCGGTCGCCACGCCCTGTCACCGCCTCAATCTGCCTTCTAACGGTTACCATTGGCCGAGTCTGCCGAATTTTCCTCAGCTGTTGGTCTGTTCACCCATCTGTCACGATCGCCCCGCCTTCCCGGTTTCCCACACAGCGTTGCGGAGGCTTCCGTGCCAAGCCTAATCTATGCCGCCATTGGCTACAGGACTCTCGCTTTTCCGAAACTATTGGTTCTCCTACACGTCCATCAGATCTACTATCGCCCCCACCACTTCCTGCAGAGTGCCCCAGGCCATCGGCAGCTCCGCCCAATGGTCCACAATTTCTCTTGTTCTCGCCCGCCCCCTTACCGGCACGCTTGGCGACTGCTACCGAGCCATTGGGCCGTCCTCACAGTGTCGCGGCCCACTAACCCCACCCCTTTCCTAGCGTTCACCAATCAGGAACTGGAAAGCCAAGTTATTTGCCCAGGCTCCCTTCCCTCGGTCCACGGGTTGCAGAACGGCGATGACGCCTGGTAGAGCCTTCCTAGCAGACGGCGCTACCGCTCTAGCAGAAACCCAGAAAGGGTGACATGAAGACCTAGACGCATCTATTTGAGCGCGTCGTTTGCGGGATACGCGAGGGACTTCGGCTCGTCGTTGGCAAAGGGGCGGGACTTCCGTCTGGCGTGCGCCGGCCCGCAGGTGACAGCTGAACTCCGCCTCGTAGCAGACCTGTATTGAAGGGACTGCTTTGAGGGTAGCGTATCTCAGCGTAGCAGTGCTGGCCTCAGGCGGACCGGCGAGCTGGGGTGAGGGCCTGGGAAGACAGCATCTCACCACAAATGCACCGCTGGCCAAGCTGACTCCCAACGGGAGTCATTCACAACCTTCGTGAGAACATAATCGCTCGACCCAGTAACGCAAAAGTTAAGCACAGAATGCTGCTTCATGCGGGAATTCATACCCGTCCAGAAATGGGTAGGTCAATATCTGTAAGAAACCACCAGAAAAAAGAAAAGAAAGAAAGAAACCACCAGAACAATAAAAAAAAAAGTATGAAGTATCGATACACGAATGAACCTTGGAAACATGCATATTATGATTCCATTTATATAGTTTCCAGAATGCCAAATCCATAGAAAGTTACGTCAGTGGCTGCCACGGCTGCAGGAGTAAGGAAATGATTGCGTAATGGATAAGGATTTTTCTTTTTGCAGAGGATGGGGCTCATGGTCACTGTTATGCCACTTGGTAGTTACCAAAAATCATATAATTGTGTACTCGAAATGGGTAATTTTGTCACATATATGATGCCTCAGTGAAGCTGTTGAAAGTAATACAAACAACGAAGTGTGGCAGCTGGTGACCATATCAGCCACATGGGAAATTGAGTTAGAAGGATGGAAAGTTCCAGGATAGCTGGGCAGTTTCAAGAATGCCTTGTCTCCAAATAAAATGGACTGGTGGATGTAATTTAGTGGCAGAGTACTTGTTTAGTATGTAGTATGTGGGAGGTCCTACGTTCAATCACTTTTTTTTTTTAAAGATTTATTTATTTACTTTGTGTGTGTGTGTGTGTGGCCAGCTCAGCCCTCCAGGGGGCAGGGCTGGCTGGCATGTGGTGCTGGGGGATTGAACCGCGGTCCCTGTGCCTTGTGTAGCTTAGCTTGTTCTAAGTAGGTGCTTTAGACCACTGAGCCATCTCACCAGCCCCCCAAAAAACCACCTTGTTTGTTTGTTTGTTTGTTTGTTTTGCGGAACCAGGGATTGAACTCAGATCCTTGCGTTTGCCAGTCAAGCGCTTATCCTACTGAGCCATCTCTCCGGCCCCTCAATCACCTTTATTGCAAAAAAGAAAAAAACAAATTTGGGCCAAGTGGAAATTTGGCCTTTGGGAACCAGGTGCTGCTGTTGCATGTGACCACAAGCAAGTTATGGCTCCTGGCAAAACAGATCTGTGTGGAAGCAGTCATGTCATTCAGTGACTGTGTGTCTGTTGCTGCTAAGGATGCACCTGCTACTACACTCTTAGTCTGCAGACCAGGAACAGTGGCTGTCAAGAACACTCCCCATACACTGAACCCAGACCTACTCCAGCAGCAATGTTCACACAGAGAAGACTTCTGCGTGGGCAGCCCAACTTGACACCCTCCACCGTGCAAGGTTGAAAACATGACCTTTGCTGAGCATCCAGCCATACACACGCTGCAGTTTGGTTGGAGGTACACGTCGGGAGTTCCTCACAGGTGCTCCTCTAGTGAGTGGCAGATCCTGGTGAGGAAGCAGCTGAGCCTCCTCATTTGGTTTCAGGGAGAGGATTTTCTGAAAGGCCTTTATCCAGGCCTCCTGGATCTAAGTGGTCAGACCCACACTGAGACCTCCAGGCAGGTCTGGAGCTTACTCCAAATTCCCCAAGGAGCTCAGAAGTTCTTGCCTGAGCCTCTGGTCAGGTCATGCCCTCTCCTCAGGAGTAGTCATTCCTCAGACACTGGGTCATAGCAGACATGGCCACATTTACAGAGAAGGATGGCACATACACACCATGTGTATAGGAAGGAAAGGAGGAATATATAGTAAACTATGAATATATTCAAAAAGGTTGAAACTAGGTGTAATGGCTCAGTTGTAATCACAAGACTCCAGGAGGCTGAGGCAGGAGGATCAAAAATTCAAGCCCAGGGCTGGGGAAATAGCTCGGCAGTCTAAGCGCATGCCTGGCAAGCACAAGGACCCAGGTTCAATCCCCAGTACCACATGCTGTGACAGCCCCAGAACCCTGGGTGTACTGTGCTGGCCCTGCAACTGGGCGTGGTAGTGCACACCTGTAATCCCAGTGCTGGGGAAGCTGAGACAGGAGGACCACTGTAAGTCTGAATTGCACAGTGAGACCCTAAACCAAATAAATAAAGATTTAAAAAAATTCAAGCCCAAAAGGCCAGCCAGATAGCTCAGCAGACTAAAGTGCCTGCTTAGGCAGAACGCAGCAGCTGGGGTTTGATCCCCCATGTGCCGCGCTGGCCCTGCCCTCAAGCGATTGCTGAGACAGTGACAGACTGGGCATGGTGGCACGCACCTGTAATCCCAGTGCTTGGGAGGCTGAAAACAGGGGAATCACTGAGTCCAATTTACATAGTGAAACCCTGTAGACCCTGTACTAAAATTTAAAAAAAAAATTTCAAGCCCAGCCTGAGCAATTCTGCAAGACCTTGTCTCAAAATAATGATTTAAAAAATGGGCTAGGGAATGTAGCTCAGTACATTCTAGGTTCAATACCCAGTACCACCTCCCCCCAAAAAAGTTGAGGGCAAGAAGCTTTTAAAAGCGAAGTTGAAGAGGATTATATGAAATATTTTGAAACAATAATCCTTGGCCACAGGATTAATAACAAATCTGACATCAGAACAACTGCTGGACAGTTGTCTTTGCAGAAGCACTTTTGGTGTGAGGTTCCGACAGATGTGTGCAAAGTTGTGGCTCTGGGAATCTTTCGTGATAATTATTGGGGTAATCATGTGTGAAAACCTTGCTGCAGGAACCCAAAAGGGGAAGAAGGCCTGCTGGGTAGAGGAGCTAGCCTCCCACAACGTTTTAAGTATATACTCATTCCACTGAGTGCCACTGGTCCAGAAAGGGAGAGCATATTCTTCCCTGTCACTGAGGGGCCTCAGGCCAAGGGCAAAGCAGGCAAAGACACAGACTTCCAACTGGAAGTCCCGGGTCAGCCCCATCCTGGTGTCTCCTTGCAGGGTCATGTATGCCTGAGCAACGTCTGGTGGACCCTAAGCCTCCCCTGTGGATTCATGTCCACTGATTCTGAGCAAGGACTAGGGCTAAGATTCTGATAGGTAAGGGGATGAGGAGAAAAGGAAAGGTCTGAGAGTTTGTGCCTTCCTTCCAGGACATCTTCTGTGGTTTGAATATGTTCCTCAAGATTTCACATGTGTTCCCCATGATTTCATGTGTTAGAAACCTAATTCTACTTAGGATAAAATGGAGTCATGGATATACCTTGGGACCATAATGCCAAACAAAATAAATCAGAGTCAGCAACACTTGGGAGGCTGAGCAAGTGTTGTCTTCCTCAAAATAAATCAGAGACAGCAACACTTGGGAGGCTGAGGAGTACCGCCAGTTTGAGGCCAGCCCAGAATACAAACTGAATTCAAAGCCAGCCTGAACTACATCTCAAGATACCTACAGGGCTGAGGAGATATCTCGGTGGTCTAAGCCCCTGCCTGGCGAGTGCAAAGATCTGGGTTCAATCTCCGGTACTGCATGCCACACCATGTCCTGTAATTTCAGTGCTAGAGAGGCTGAGACAGGAGGGTCACTATGAGTCTGAACTATGTAGTGAGACCGTGTATAAACAAAACAAAAAAAGAAAACAACAAAACAACAAGGGAAGGTACTCCGCAAAGGGAAGCCTGGTAGACAGCTGCCCTGACCAAGATATCAAGTAAATAACACTTAGAACAGACAAACATGCCTCACATGGCTCCTAAAATGATGCCAAGGACAGCACTTACATGCTGTCCTGCAACAAACATAAGAGTGGTACTATGAAAACCATCAGAAAAATCCCTATCAGACATTCTTTGGCAGGTGGTATCTCAGTGGCTTCAAATGGCTGGTGTGACTAGTATACCATCAACTGGCTTTGGTGTCAGGCCTGGGTTGGCCTTCGGAGGATGGGCAGGCAGGGTGGCACCCTGCACAGGAGATGACAGCTGGTAGGTAAGCCCCAGGACAGGGTCACATAGAGCAGTGTTCTGGGCTAAGGGACAAGATGTTTGCCTGGTGGGCACCCCAAGAAGAGGAGTGAAAGGGCAGGAACAGGCAGCTGGAGGATGAGTGGGAGTAGCAGAACAGCAGGGAAGGGTGCAGGCAAGATGTGTGCCAGCCCATGTGTTACTTAGCATCAGCTTTTGGTTGCTCAGAGGCCTCTGCACTTGGAGCTAGGAGCTAGACATGGTACCTAACTGGAAGGTGGCTTCCTGCAATGCAGGTGTCAGGCTACTGTCAGAAGGCTCCAAGTGGACACAGGTCCACAGAGCACTCTGAAGCCATGCTACACTGGGTAAAGACCCAGGCCAGGGAGCTGCAAATGGCCCTCTCTGGGTTCCACCCAACTCCATAAACAGGACTGCAGGTAGGAATCCCCTGGGGCCCCTGGAGGCTGCAGGACAGAGAGGGTCAGCTCAGTTTAGGGAGTTCTTTGCCCTTATGGAGCCCAAATATGTATCAAAGCCAGAGGTGGCTTACCCCCTGCCTCACTAAGCACACTTCTGCCTCACATAACAGCCCTGTATGCCAAGTGAGGCTGTGAGGAGCCATCTACCTGGGCTAAGATTTCAAGGGACATACTCCCCACTTAGCAGCACTGTGCAGGGGTGCTCAAACAGGAGGCAGGCCATAGCAATCACCTCAGAGAAAACCTTAGATCTCCTGCATATATGGCAATAATAAAGGCCAAACTAGCACTCCAAACACATGTGGTTTTATTGTAATGAAAGGAAAAGGCAGATCAAGATCCATCTCTGTTGACATCCTTCATCAAGGGCTTAGAGTTGATGAAGCCTGAGACAAAGGAGTATGGGCAGTGGAGAGGCTGAAGTGGACAGTCCCGAGTGCCACAAAGATGGACAGGGCTTGCTGCCCTCTCCTAGCCACAGCATAGAACTTTCTGGACCATTGAGGACCTTTGTCCTCTCACCCTCCGAGGCCACATTCACTGCCTGCTGGCTGACGAGGGCCACAACCACAACCTCAGGGACACCCATACTATGGGAGCACTGTGAGTCCTTGGGCACTGTGGGTCCAAGGAGATCCAATAGATAAACCCTCTTCAATTCAGCATGTGAGGGCTCTTGTTCACTGGAATTGAGGGTCAGCAGCTGCTCCATGGCCCACCCCCCTACTCTCCTACCCCCAGACAGGGCATTCTGCTGCAGCAGCTGGAAGATGCCAATAACCTAGAAATACATCCCAGGAGGTATCCCTCCACCCACCACTAGGGGATAGCCAGAGGGACCTGCTAGCATACTCCAGAGGCTGACTTGGGGGTTGCTGGGGATAGGGCAGAGTGTGGTAACCACAGTAGACCAGAGGTGGGTCCCAAGGTCAATCGTGCTAGAGAGGGAAGGAGTGTGGGCTGGCAGTAGGTTGCCTGGCATGGCCTGGTGAAGCCCCAGAATCAGGATGGAAACTTGGAACAAAATCTGCCAACAGTTAGGAGCACATGGAGCTCAGCCCCATGGTCAATACTGCCCTGAATGAAAGGTGTGATGGTGGGCCATGCGGTAATACTGGGAAGGCTACAGCCAGGCACCTCAGTCCTGCTTGTCCCCTCTCTGCTTCCAGGGGTAGATAAGCTCTCCAAAAAACAGCTTGCGGCACAGGGAGCCCCAAGAGTGCTTGGGGTGGCAGCCACAGCGTGGTAGTCGGTAGGTGTGCACCACACTGCTGTAGGGCAGGGGGTTTATCTGGAAGGACAGAACAGCAATCAGCACGGTGATCAGGGTGCTGTAACGTGTCTGCAGAGAAAACACTGACATGTAGGCAGTAGGAACCTGGTTAGCCCTCTGGGGTGGTTCTTGGGCTGGGCGCCGGGGTAGGGCCAGCCAGCCCAGACATGCCCTTCCCATGACATAGCTAGCCAAACTGTGAGGACACCTACATGTTCTCGAGGCAGATGAGGTGGGGTGGGATCCAGGTGTCCTAGGATGAATGTACTCCTGCCCAGGAAGATCAGAGTCTATGGCTGCCTTGACATCTAAGGCAGGATGGACCTGGCCCAAGAGGCAACCTGTAACCTGGCAATGTACCCGAAACCTTGTCCTGCTCCTTCCCACAGGGACCAAGCACCCAGGATTGCTTAAGATGGAGTGGAACAGTCTGGGTTTAATAATGCCTGGAGGTCTTGAGGCTTTTGCTAAGTTGATTCTGTTTCAAGTAGGCAGCCCAAGGTGTCTTATTGGTATCAAAGGGACACTGTCCATGGACTGGGCTAGACCTCAGCCATGCAAACCATCATGAGCACTCAGGCCCTGTGGGGAGAGGGGCAGGCAAAATGGGTCATAGTGGCCAGAAGCCTGGGGTCTTCCTCTATGTGGTTAACTCCTCAGCAACACTGGGCCCTCTGACTGCACTGGGCCCCAGGCTGATGGACCCCACACCAACTGACCCCAGCTGTCCCCAAACACAGACAGAGCAGTGGGAGTGGCTCCCACCCCAGGTATCAGTGAGGGGCATGAGAGGTCTCACCTGCATCAGGAGGCGGAGAGGCCTGCCTGCCTCATGCTCCAGGACGCGGAACTTCACACCAGCTGCAAGAAGATCAAAATAATGAAGAGAAGGATGGCAGCCTTAGTGCCCACAGAGCTCTGCAGACAGCCCCTATTGTACTGCCAGTTTGCAGAGAGTGGTATGGGCAATGACCTCTGGCAGTGAAGGCCCCTTCTTCCTCTGTGCAGCACCCAGGTGGTGGCAGGCCTGCCTGGGCACACAGCAATCTCTGCCCCCTGTCCATCCCATCTGCCTCTTTTGAGCTGGCTGCCTAGACAACATCATGGCCTCTTACAGCTCTGCAGAAATAGCTCAATGAAAAAGCCCAGGGTTCAATCACTATTACAAGAAGGGAAGGAGAGAAGAGGGTAAGAAAAAGGGCCTGGGTGTACAGAGAGGAAACCTTGGTTCAAAGCTAAAAAGTATGTTCATACCCTGTGGCTAGGGATGGCTAAGAGGGGCATCTGGGCATGGTCACCTTGCAATGGGTGCTGGACAGTGCTGTGTCAGGAAATCCTCAGGTCCTCTGCTGGGTCCAAACCCCTGAGCCAGATGAGCTGGCCCACAGGCAGGGGCTTCATAATGAGCAACTTCCCCAGCCTCTTAATTTTTTTTTTTTTTTTTTTTTTAGACAACTCTCGCTAAGTTGCCCAGACTGGACTTAAATCATCCGACCAACAGGGACAGCTTCCACTCAGGAGCCAATTTCAAACTGGTATCAGAGCACCCATGGGGGCAGCTACCTGCAGCAGGGATGGCAGGGAGACAACTGGGATGGGGATGCCAACCATAAACAGTGCAGGACATTCCTGTCACACAAGTCTGTCTAGACTGGTGGTCCTCACCCTAGCCTGCCCCTCCAAGGTTAATGGTGCCAGCAGGCATATGGCTCCAATAACCATGTAAAGATGGACCTCCTCTGGGCCATGGTCAGATAAACATAAGTTACAGTAGATAGGCATACAACAAATCAGAGCTATTATAGGAAGGGTACAACAAGAGCTGCCTTGACCCACAGCCTCAGGAGGTCCTTTCATTCCACCTTATGAGGATTGTTGGCCTAGAAGATGCCTGGAGCAGGAAGCTCTGTCTTCCCCAATCTCCTGTGCCACACCCCACTGTCTCCAGGCAGGTGACCAGTGTTGCTGGAATTTTGCAGGATCCAGTGGATGACAGAGGGCTGGCCACCAACACAGAGCACTTACCTGCTAGTCTGTAGGGCCGACAGAGCCGAAGGCCAAGTGAATACAGAGGCAGGGAGTTGATAAGGTCCACAAGCAGATGGATCAAGCCCTGTACAGTGACCACCAGGAGCCGGAGCTGCAGTACAGGCAATACTCAGAACCTCTGAGCCAGGGCTGTGACCAGAGCCTTGCTGAACATGCTCTCAAACACAACAGCTCGATGGGATCCTTGGCCATGACCAAGGGTGACCAGGGGTCAATGGCCCTGAGGAAAGCATGGATCCCACACTAAGGAGAGCAGAGAGCCTACCCTTGGTTCAGGTACCAAGGAGGCAGGAGGGAGATAGCACCCCTGCTCAGGGGCTAAGCAGTCAGCCCTCCCCCCAGCTCAAAGACCATTAATCCCAAAGCCCCAAATACTGACACTGCTCACTTCCCACTGTCCACCCTGAAGTACCCAGGATCTCCATGACCCTGCTGTCCCCATTGCCCACCCCAGGGTAGGACCCTACCAACCCACTCTTAGGCCCAACATATATTGCCCAAAGTCCCAGTCATGGTAATTGGTCTGTAGGGGTACATGGCTTGGCCCACAGCTGCAGGGCTCCAGGTAAAGCTTGTAGTGACTACTTCAAGTACTGGAGGCACTATGACATGAGTATGTGGCTTACCAGGGTAAATACTAGGTAGTACAGGGCTGTGGTGGGCAGGAGAAAGACCAGGATGGTGAAGAGCAAGGTCCCGATGAAGAGCTGTGGGAGAAGGGGGTGGCACACCTGGTGACTCAAGGACCTAGCCAGGAATGGCCCCACTAGCAATGGCTACATCCAACTGCCCACCCCAGCCTGTCCTATACTTTTAGTCAGGACCTCTTGGCATCCAAGTGAACTCCAGACAGACTGCTCAGGCAAGTTTCCTAGTACCATGAGGGTGCTACCATGGGCCTTGTATACACCTGCTAGGCTTGTAGGGAGGCCAGTCAGTGAGGCACATGGCCACAGACAGTATCAGGGGAAAGTTCTCTTATGTCAGGTATGAGCAAACCAATGCATCAAGCTGGGACAAAAATTGGGACATGGGACCCCAGGCTCTGTGTCTTGGAAGCATGGTCTTCTCTGGCTAGGGTAAAGTCTGCAGGTACCTTCCCCCAGGCCAACTATAATGGGCCAGCTACAGCACCTGGTCCAGGTCGTAAGAGCAGGAATCCACCCGCTGACGCAGCACATTCCACTTCTTCCCCCGGAACAGACGCCAGAGAGAGGATAGGCCACAGATCTTCAGGCAGTACAACCTGCAGACATGGGCACTATAAGAACTATGCTTGGGCCTGAAGAATGGCTCCTTAGCTGGGCTAATTGGGAAAACTCACCCACACCCCACCAGAGCTGGTAATGCTCTAGCCCCAAAGGCTACACACAGGACATACATGCTTACCGGGCACCATAAACATAGAAGCAATAGATGTGGAAGGTGAGGAGTGCAAAAATGTCCGACAGGATGGACAGGGCAACTGTCAGTCCCAGGCATGCTGAGAGGCCCACGTGCCACAGGATGCGCTCGATGAAGGGAGACATGAGGTGGATATAGCCTGGTGAGATGGGAGTCAGCCCTGAGAGTTGTATAGAACTCTTGGGTCCCCCAGTTCCTTGCTAAATATGGATGCCTGATGCTTAAGAAATCACAAGTACACAGACTACATCAATGGCAGGGCAGTGTAGCCCAGCACTATGGGGTTCACACACAAGAAGCTAAGAAGTGGGGATGAAGGGTCTCGTGGGCTTTTCCACCTTCCTCAGCTGGGGTCTGGACCACTGGGGTGTGAAGCCCTGCCAACCCTGACCCTAAGAAGTACTCACTGATCCATAAGTGAATATGGTACAGGAAGAAGCGGCCCAGCACCTGGTCCAGTGCCCGGTTCATCTTGAGCCCAGCAGGTGCACCCATCAGCCACTGTAGCAGATGCTGGAGCTCCTCAGCTACATGCTGCAGGACATGACAGGGGAAGTGGTGGTGATGGTATTATTGTTGTTGGAAGAGTAGACAGAATTTACATCAGTACCTCCTAAAATTTTCATGATGTGTTTCCACCTCGGCTAGCCTGCCTGAGCTGGGAAAAGGCAGCCACAATTCCTTCCTCCCAAGATCCAGACTCCCATCTGCTAATATGGATGGGCAGTTTCCCAAATTTGCCTAGCCCAGGAACCACTCTTTAGACAAAAGTACACAACAGCTGCCCCTGGCCCCTTAGGCAGGTCCCTCCCCATCTCACCCCTTCACCTCTGGACTCCCAGAGGCCTCAGACCCAAACCTGGACATTACTAAGGCTGGACCTCAAGTCCTACAAGGGAACTGTGGGCCAAAAACCCCACCCCACCACCAATCACCACTTGGGCTACCCAGGATATGTGCCCTTGTGTGTGAGTGAGAAGACATCAGACCCATAAGGGCCCAGAGCAGCAGGTAGCAGTGATAAAGGACAAGGGACCCCAGAGGAAAGGATAAGATCAAGTGAGGGTAAGAGACAGCACAGAAACCTCAAGAACAAGCAGGAAAGCCAGGTTCTGCCATCCAGGAGGACAGTCAGGTGCTGTGATAGCCACAAGAACCCTCACTTTCCTTGCTGAGGCAAGGTTACAGACAAATCTCTGTGCCCAACCTGCCCACACTAAAGACCTCTCTTGATCTTGTGCTAAGGCCTTGGCCATGTCGAGACTAGTAAGAAGGGGAGAGTTTGTTCTCTATAAATAGAGCTTATCTATTATTTAAAGGATAAGAGCTTGGCAGCAGGAAGAGACTTTCATTTTTTAATTAAATATTTATATTTTTGAGCAACTTGGCAGAAGGGATGTCTAGGACAAAGTTGGCTAAAAGCAGAGTGTGGAAACACCCGTGCCTCTCCTACCCCAACCCCTCCTTTCTCCTAGATTGGTCTTGAATCCCTCCCTATACATAAAAGGGAGCTCAGAGGCACGGGCTCCAGCCCCCCAGAGTCCTGACCTGGCTACAAGCAGGCCCAGTACTCACCTACAGTGTGGACATAGACAGGACAGAGGCTGCACACACCAGGAGGCCCCAAGAGGCCAAAAGGTCAAAGGGCTACAGAAATCATCCTAAGCAAGAAGACATCATCCTAAGCAAGGAGACATGCTCCTAATGAGACAATGCTTTGGGTCCAGCAGTATGTAAACATAGGAGGTAGACAAAGAAAGAGGAGAGCAGGCCCTGCACCTCACCAGGACATGCATTCTGTTAAAGTCGGAAGCACAAAAGACATCCCTGTACCTCTAGCTATTAGTATGGGAATTATGCAACCAATACTAGGCAGTATGTCATGCCTGGCAAACACCCCTGGGTAGAGGTTCCCTGATGCTAGTCCAAGAGACAGAACTGATCACAGGACTAGGAAAGCAATGGACAGCCACAATCCTGGGCCTGGCTCCATCTAAAATCTTTAACCATAAGTGGCCCCAGATAGGGAGGGCATAGTGGTACACACCTATAATTCTAGCACTTGGGAGGCTGAGGCAAAAGGATTGCCACAAGTTTGAAGCCAGCCTAGACTACACAGTGAGTTCAAGCCCAGCCTACATAGTGAGACTCTGTCTCAAAAA